AGGCGTCCGGTTGGGGTGCGCGGTCCTAGCGCCGCACGCTCGGGGCTGCGCATCCGCCCGGTCCGCGCTGCATCGTCGGCGTAAAACCCGGGGGAGGAAAAAAATAATTATTTTTTTGGGGTTTTTATCACGCTTTGCGGCTTTATTGTTTTTATTACGTCCCTTTTGAACGAGAGATGCTGGGCAGCGCGAGTGCTCCCGGTCTTTGCTGATGGGCAGCACCAATAAAACGGGATTTTAAGCGAGCTGGCCGCGCACGTCTGGGGTGCTTTGGTGGCAGCGCAGTCCCGGCGGGGCTGCCCCGTTCCGGGCCGTATTTTCATCCAAAGAGCTCCGCTTGTGCAGGATCCGCAGCGCCGCGGGCTGCTGAGAGCGTGAGTCTTTGTTCGGAGGTTTTATGTACGGTGACAAAATGGGGACTGAAGGCGCCCGGCGACGGCGCCCGCAGATCCTGCGACACGGGGACAGAACCGCTGGTCCTGCTGCTGTGCCCCAGCCCCCTGGGCTGGCTGCAATCTCTGCCTGCACCAGCCTGCCTGGCTGTCCTTTGATCAGCAGGTCTAATTGCAATTAGTAGGTTTTAATAGGCGAAATGAAATGTATTTGCTATTCAAAGGCACATCTCTTTGTTATCTAGGGATCCAGCTGATTGGAGTTCTCCCAGAGTTGGCTTCTGCTGTTGTGTTTCTTGGTCATGGCTACTTCTGGTATGTAGTATTCTGTACAAAATGCTCGTGTCTGTCTTATTTCCTCTGAAATAAATTTAAAAGCCTAATACAGTTAAATAAACTGTCGTTGCCATGCTTTTCTCCCATCTCTAGGCTGCTTTGGAGAAGCTGTTAAAAGCGGGCGCTTGTGAAAACATAGCACAAGCTGCCTCCAAGGAGGCTGTTGGCAGATGGGCCCCAGCTCCTCTGCCTGCCATCTGCTCTGCTAACAGAACTGACGATCATCTCGAGGAGCTGAACGGGTGTGACACCGGGCAGGGCTGGTGTGCCTGCTCGTGGGGGTGTGAAGAGAGGATGCTGTGAAAACTGGTTTTTGGTTCTTGGCGATGTCGGGTCTTAGGCAAACAACACCTTGAAACCCTTCCTCAGGATTATTTTTCATTTGAAGTATGGATAAACTTGTTTTCATAACCCTGGTTATAAAAGGCTAAAACAAATTACCAGGTGCTTGGGTAATTTATTGAGGAAGAATTGTGAATAAAACTCTGCTGTGGTTTTGAATGATGTTGCTGCTGCTTAAAACTGTTGTCTCAGGTGCTGTCTCCTCAAGTCACCATTGTGGCACTGAATTTTTGAAGGCTGTTTATTCAAGTTACCTAAGCTGGTCCCTGGTTTAAAATTGGTTTTTTTTCCCTCTGTTTCTAGATATTCAAGTGAAGGAGCTGGAAAAGAGGGCCTCTGGGCAGGCATTTGAGCTGATACTCAGTCCCCGCTCAAAAGAAGCAGTCCCAGAATTCCCTCTTTCTCCCCCAAAGAAGAAGGATGTGTCATTGGAAGAGATCCAGAAGAAGTTGGAAGCAGCGGAAGAGAGACGTAAGGTAAATTTGGAAGAGCTTAAGCAAGCTCTGCTCAGCTAGTCTGTGCAAGCTGTGGTTTTAAAAATTATTAATTAGGAGAAGTGATTAGTGGTAAATACTCTATATTATGGTAAATAGAGTATTAATTGAACTTTGGTATCTCGGGGGCTCTTGTGAACCTTTGCTATGGTCTGGCAAGGCTGTTGCTTTGTTCCCAAAGTGATATTGAATGGTCACTCGAAAAACTGGGAGAAAACATCTAGGTGAGAGGGGAGGATCTGGAAGAAAGAGTTTTTTTTGTCTTTAACATCATAACAGATGAATTTCCTCCTAGAAGATGTGGTGGTGAATCTGTAATGTGAGAGTTTGTCAAGACAGTGTCTGATTTGATATAAAGTCTTGCTGTTGGGATGTAGCTTGGAGCTTTGCTTGAAGTGCAGCCTCCTGTGTGACCTGAATCCCAGCGATTCACTGCTCTGAGAAGTGAGGGAAGATGTATTGATGTTAACATTTAAAAAACAACAATCTTTTTTCCAGAAAAATCCCATTTGACAAGGCTTGCAAGTAATGACAGAAACTGTGCTTTCCTGGTTGCTTGTAACGGTGAAACGTGGGTGGGGGAAGCACCAAGGAGCTCTGTCCTGCATCTTGAAGTTTGCTCTTCTCTACAAGGGCAGGAAATCTTCTCTTGGGAGCTGTGAGCAGCTCGACTGCTGTTGTCTCTGTAGTTGATCTGGTTTATGTTCAAAGCCTGCATCCTCTTGTTTTGTTAGTCTCATGAAGCAGAAGTGTTGAAGCAGCTCGCTGAGAAGCGGGAGCATGAAAAAGAGGTGCTCCAGAAAGCCATTGAGGAGAACAACAACTTCAGCAAAATGGCAGAGGAGAAGCTGACCCACAAAATGGAAGCAAACAAAGAAAACCGCGAGGCACAAATGGCTGCTAAGCTGGAACGCTTGAGGGAGAAGGTGGGTGTGGAGTCCCAGTTCTGGGAAGGAGTTTACCCCTGCTCCTGGTGGTGAGAATGGGCTGAATAAAGCCAAGTGAGCCCCCATGTGGGGGGGTGCTGAGAATAGAGGGGTGTCCTTGGGAGTTCTGTGGTGGTGTGGTCTTCAAAGATGGTTAAATCTACAGAAACACCCCTCGGGGGAGAGGGGATGGGTGGAGCTGCAGCAGGGCCTCACTTTCTCTTTGGAAGCTTCATCCTGCAGCCCCCAGATCTGTGGGGAGAGCAGGGGGTGGGCAGGGAGCTGGGGCTGGCTGTGCTGGGGCAGCTCACCACCTCCTGCTGCTGTCTTCCAGGACAAGCATATCGAAGAGGTCCGAAAGAACAAAGAAGGCAAAGACCCTGGTGAGGCTGAAACCGACTGACTTCATTCTGGAAACTGACTCTCACCCCCTCCTCTAAATATCCAAAGACTGTACTGGCCAGTGGTTTGATCTTTGCTTTTGTTATTATTTTTTTTTTTTAATTTTAAGTTTCTAGGGACTGATGTAGAACTGTAAAATTAGATCCCAACTGTACACTTGCTTTGGGGGTAGAGGGGAGACCTTCCATGTTTCACTTTTTCTAAAGTGTTGTCTTTCCAGTGTAGCTCTCTTCTTGTTGCATCCTTTTCTACTCCAGCACACTCGCTGCTGGGTTGATGGCTAGTACTGTATCAGCTCTGTAAGATGTTTGTGATGGAATCTGTAGTACACTCTTCCATGCTGAATATCTGTGACACTTCCAAAATCTGACTCTGTCCCAGTCTGCTAAAATCCCGCTGTAACCGAGTGACTAAATAAAGCTGCACAGTGCTGTTCTCATGAGAATTGCTGCTGAAAAAGGGGTGTGAGAAACAACACGAGCTGGCTGAGGGCTGTGCTGGGTGTTCCTTCCCTGGTGCTGGGTGGAAGGGTCTGCAGCAGAGTGTCTCCTTCCATCCCTGGACGTGCTCGAGGCCGCCTTGCCCCCGGAGCGCTCGCATTGTCTCAGCTGTACAATCCAAGCTTTGTTTTGACACCTCAGCAGTTGTCAGCTGCTGGGTGTTTTTGTTAAAAAGAGTTCAGAACCACCTCCCTTGGGCTGCTGACACTTGAACAAATGAGTCCTTGTTACCACATGACTGATCTGAGGCTTTTTTTTGGGGAAGGGTTTCTGGAGGATGACTTGTGCTATTGAAGGGTGAGTTGTGTCAGAAACCTGCTCTGTGCTGGGACTGAGCCTGCCCCCAGTGGAGATGCTGCTGTGGAGGAGAACGATTGTTTTGGTGTCTGCCACGGGTGTGCTGGGCCAGGAGGTGGTGTCCCAGGGTGGGGGTGAAGGTTGACTCCTGCCCACAGCTAGATGTGTGTCATCTCTCTTTTCTGGGGCATCAGAAATTGATACAGCTGAACCTGTGCTCTGAAGACAGATGCCTTTAGGTGTCTGGGTACAGAGTTGCTGTATTGTCCCAGGTGCCTTAACACCCCAAAACCTTCCTCTGAGGACATCCACAGGTTCTTGTGCTGCTCTGCAGCAAAGCCAAAGTTGGGGTGTGTGAACACCCAGTTCTGAGGAACTCAGCTTCAGTGAGAGTGTTGCCTCAGGGCAAGGAAGCTCTTGGCTTCCACAGCTTCTGTCAGACACTCACTGGTGCTGGTCCCTGTGGGGCACAGTTGGTCCCATCTTCCCCCTTTGCTGCCTTTGATCTTGAGGCAGGTTTGTTTTCAGGTTAAATTCACACCTGGAGTGTATGGCACTGACATGTCCTCAGGAAGGACAAGCTGGTAGGGATTGATTTGATTTTGTTTTTTAAAGGGCTAATTGAGCCCTGGGCCACTTGCCCTGCCCTCTGGGGCTGCTGTAAAAGAAGGAACCTCAGTTTAGGAAGCTGTCACATATCACACAACATTTTTGATTGCATCAGAGTTGTACTTAACCAAAAGCTGTTTGTCTGAAAGAAGGACAGTGAGATAGAGCCAGGCCTGATGCACTGGGAGGCTGGGATCAGATCTTTGCCTGAAGGATTTTCAGGAGTGGTTTGATACTTCCTAATTTAAGGTAAGAGAACCTGTTGGGGAGCACCCACCCATCTGTGGTGGGGGCAGAGTGCAGGTTTGGGCTTTGGGCACATGTTGGTGTTGAGTGAGCTGAGAGGAGGGGGATGTGGGTCAGGATCTGCCCAGGGAGCTGAGGAGGATGAGAATACAGAGCTGAACCCGGGGAGAAAGTGCATTTGAGCCTCTGTGCTGTGCTTACAGAAGCCACTGAGTGTCTCTAGCACCACGTAATGGAGGTTTAAGTGATTGCTGGATCAGTTCCCATAGACAAGATCAAGCTTCATTAGCAATTAAAAAAGAAAAAAAGCAGCTATATTTAAATGCAAAGACAAAGTGTCCCAAATGCTGGGGGAGGGGTGGGGAGTGTCCCCATCTTTTCAAGGGATGTGGGAGAAGGATGACAGTGCTGCCAAATCCCAAAAGGTGTTAAGAGCATGAAGAGATAAATAGGAGTTTTTTGACTTACCAAAGCTGTCAGATCTTAGCCTGGGGCCTTCTGTTCCCTCATCTTGGCTCTGCTTCGTGTGGCTGCCTGCGTTGGGCTTAACAGGAACTTAATGCCTGGAGCTCTAAGCCTGGAGTGGAGTTTTTAACTGGAGCTTGGTCTAGTTCCCTGAGACCTGTTGGGGGGGGGGAAGGGAAGTTTTGAGGGTGAGAGTGAGACTGGGGGGTGAAAACAGTGGGAGGGTAGCAGTGATCTGAGAACGGATAAGAGGGGAGGAAGAACTGTCATGGAGGAGGGGACAACAGAGAGGCTGCCTGGGCAACAGGGGCTCGGTGAACCTGTGCTGGGAAGGAACCCATCCTAACCACAAAGAATTGTATTTGTGCTTTAAAAGGCTAAATCCAGATATGTCCGCGGGAGCAAACGTCAACAGCTGGGGGCTGGCTCTGTATCATTAAGGAAAAATTCA